TTGCGCAGCGTCTGTGCGGGAGCTCTTGCGATATACTTGTGCAAGTAGTTGGAGAGGCCAAGCCACTTGCGCAATTTCTTTTGGTTCTTTGGAGCCGGTAAGTTTACAATAGCCTAGACCTTAACGGGGTCAGCTCAAAGGCCACGCTTCCCGATGAAGCACGCTAAAAAGGATGCCTTTGGCGCCAAAGATTCACTTGTCTGCATTAGCATTCAGCTACTCGTGCGCATGCAATCGAGCACCGCATTCAAATAGACGATGTGGTTCGCTTCATCCGTCCTCCCGTGCTCCGCACGACTGATGACGAAGATGTCGTCGAAGTGTGTCTGTGCGTACGCCCGGTGGATCTGAACAACTGCGTCACAAGTGGATTAAACGCTGCTGCTGCGTTTGTCAGCCCTTGGGGCATCACCAGTCACCCTCAAAGTATGCAGCTCGGTTAACTCACCGTTGTTAGCGTAATATCACTCGCTCTCAGGAGCAATTGTAATATCCATCGACCAAGTCGAGTGCACTGTACTTTCTGCATCCAACCATATTGTTCTGGAGGACATCCTAGAAAATTCGCGTCTGTGCCGGAATGGTGGCAGCGTTGAACTTATTGTAAGCGTGAACGATACGCCACTAGCCGTTCGGTTTCCGGACACAAAATGTGGGTGCCGAATGAGGAGACTTACTCTTATGCGCAATTCCTGTGTCCTGCTTTGCACGGAAAAAAGACGTCAATGACATCACACTGCTCCTTGGGCAGGAGCCATTGACGTGTTACGCAGTATTTGTATCCGGATCCAGGTCAATTCATAATGCACACTTCGGTCCGGAGGTAGGTCTGACGGCTGGTCTTTGGAGACGGCGTCTTAAAATTCCTTTACAAAAGGATAATACGGAACCGAGGGATTATGTAGGATCGACGATCCATTTCGTGCGTTCGGCACCCTCTTGGTGTCCTCCAGGACAGCATCATCCAGAAGCGACGACGAGAAAATCTCCTCGTCCGGTCCTATAATAACACCCCGGCTAAATTGCCTGCGTTCTAGGCACTGCCAACCTCTCGAAGGACATCTCGTCCAGCTCAAGAAACCGCGGGAATACCCTCGAGGCTGTCGCCGTCCTCCACCGTTGACGAGGATGTATAGCTGTGCGCTATCGTCTACGCTAGACATACCCTGGGTCAGATCGACGCTTTACGTCTTGCGGATAACATACGGCATCACCGTCTTCACTCTATAGAGGTTTTACACGTCGTCGAGACCGGTGGGACACGCACTCAGCATCGTCCAGTGTTAGGCCCACTCCCTGCTCCACCAGAGTCTTGATGTTATTAACAACATCCGACGTAGAGCTGCTAGCTCCGCAGTCTTTGTCCAGTGAATAACGTGCCATTCCACGCGCATCTAAAGGGTCTTGCCCAAGACTCCTCGGGTCTAGTCTGACCATGCCACTCTGGGCATTCAGCAACTGCTTCGAATACGAGCCACTCTACGCGCATCACTGGGGCCTTGCCCTCGATGCCTCGGACCTCGTCCGACCATGTTACTCCTGGCATGCAGCGACTGCTTTGAAACGCGAGCAGTGCTCAGTGGACTATGTGCCACTCTACGTTTAGCTCGCGAGCCATGCTCAGGACTCCTGTCCGATACATCTTCGGTGTTCACCAGCTCGGATACTCCGATCTCCAGCACGATTGACCGTCTTGGTCCAGTGTCCGCGCCAATAGCGTTTTTGCCTCCCAACAGAGTTGGGGCATGACTCACTAATTTCACCAAGAGATGTGCGCGTAGCACCCAAAGTCTTCGACCTCCAGTCGATCCATGGCTCATGGTGCTCCAGCCATGCCATACCAAGGATAAGTTCATACCTTGAATCCAAGTCTATACTTAAGCAGCATTTCACGCTATCAAAGACCAGAGACTTGACACCGAGGTCCACAAAGACCCTCGGCACCATGACACATGTCTCCGTCGCTAAGCGAAGTCATTCAACCGCGCCTTCAGCGCCTCAGCATACAACTGACTTCCTTCTATCGTGGAGGGTCGGGCAAAATTACCCGACGCCCCGGATTCGATAAGGATCTTCCATGGCTTGTCAAAGTTTTTCACGGTCGCTTCCACGACCAGCAAGCCCGGCTTGCATACACGCTCCGTGTACAAGAGCACGGAGCTCTTCGGGGCTGGGTCCTGCTGACCTCTACCTCCTTGAGGCTTGACAGAACTCAGGTCTTCCCGGGCGGCTTACTGGGTGTTGTTGCTCACCGCGACAAACCAGAAGACTCTTGAGAGCAGAACTTCAGCTGGATGAGCCCTGACGCGCCTTGCGCAGGGGACAACTAATCCGAAATGACGGGTGTTTCCACATACAAAACACCGCAGGGGTGTTTTAATACTGCTCGGCAGCTTGGAGCTCTGCCTCCTCGTCCTAAGCATAGCTGAAATTTATCGGCTCAGGCCCACTCGACGAGATGCTAGAGTGTTCATTTTAACCATGTTGTGCCGACATAAATTGAATTCGGCATATAATGCCCCATTCATTCTTTTCTTCAAAAGAAGACGGGTGCACACGGAAGAGTTTCATTCTGGCCACGCCAGTGCGGAAGCTTTCCACTCCATAACGACGATCACTGTGACCGCCTCCGGGAGAGGATCCGCAGCTATCCCGGCAATGAGAGTACGCAACCGTTGGACAAAGTTCACCAAACCCTTCTTGCCCTGTAGGACGGCAAGGAAACGCGATCATCACGATATGCCTGGTTAGACGGCAAGAACACTCGCAAAAGCTAACGCTTCAGCTCCTTCCAGGAGTGAAACGCCGCTTCGACCAAAGTGCCACACGACATGTCCCATTGTCGCGCTCGGCAACCAAGCTCGGAGATATCTAGCGCCAAGCGCTGATGCTCGGTCTGAAGCTTGGCGGATGCTATGGCGACCAGAGCAGAGATTCTTTCCACCCTTGCTCTCAAAGGGCTTATCACTCAGCATGAGCGGCTAGGGTTGGGGGAGTCACTTAACGTCGATGGTGGCGTCATGGACGCAGTAGACGCCGACATCTTCTGCTGTAGGTGTTCTAGCAGAGCATTTTAATAGCTTGAGAACACCTCTAGGCGTGCTTATCGCTTCAGGGCCTTGCGAAGCGAGGTGTTACGCACCCTCAAGGCCAAGCAGAGACATCAGCTTTTAAAGCCCGTCTTGTATGCCCTGGGTCAGATAGAAGAATTGTCCCATCCTCAGTCGTAATGGCTCAGGTGTAGATTGACTATAAATATTATTAAGTGCAGCGGCTGCCATAGCTCTTTCTCGTACAGGAAGTTTGGTTAAGGTCGGTGACCTTCATTCTATACTTAGAACCAGTACGAGTATAGCGGATCGCAATCCACTTACTACACCTTAAACCTGTATCGCAATAAGATGAGCGTCATGCGATGAATACGCGCTATGGCTGAGAGCTAGGATGTGCGAACAAAAACGCAGATGCAAGGAGCGGACGAAACACATCATGAAGAAAGATTTTACATCGCGCTCAAAGTATTCTCGTATGCATTGTCCGTATCCAAAAAATTAAGTTGCGACCCCGCTACGCTATATCGAACACGGCTGTAGCCAGCAAAGTATTGAGAAACAGGATAGAAATCCCGGCGAGAATGCGAACGTCATTGTGGGCTTGATGAATCCATACCACTGCTTCACTCATACAATCCGCTCAAATGTGAAGTTCTTTGTTGAAGACAGAATACGTCTCAATCATCTCCTCAAGCCGAAGTCACAGTATGATCTAGAATAGCATTACGTTTCTGAACCGTATATGGTGACTTAACTCACAGTGCGCATCCGAAACATTAGCCACACACGCCGAGAGGCTGAGATATAGTCGACGTGTTGCAATAACCGAGACATATCACACCCCGACCCCCTTGCATTGATTGGGATATACTTAGCATCAGTTTATGCAAGACTTACTTTTGAAAATATGTCTCTCTCTAATAAAGTGCAGACTAATTACCTAGTTTCTTGAGAGGATCTTTTTCCCCGCTCTTGGATGGAGCTTCCAGCCCATCTTTTGTATTTTAGCTAACGCAAATTCATGAGTTAATGCTTTCTATATCCCAAAATCGAATAGATTCCTTCGTGCATGTACTTTTTTACACTCGGCACAAGTTATCAACGACGTAAGCGGATATGAGTCTCTTGCCTATGCTCATGACTGCCGCGTCAGCTCACAATTTGGTAGGGAGGGGCTATTTCTTCCTTTCTTAACGGAGGTGGACGTTTGGCATCAATAATTTGGGATGCATTACTGTAGCCTACCCTGTACGTGAGCACTTTGTAACCGGTTAAGCGACGATCAGTCTTCACGCCGTTTATCGAATTGCTGCATTCGGCTTCAATTAGAATGCTGATACGGACTGATGGTGGCAAGCAGCCAATGGATTGCGATAGCTGCCAAGCATCGAAAACCCGGCAAGACAGTCTATAACATGCAAAATGTCAAGGTTCTCGCGAACAAAGAGATGTTTGATTTTGACTATCCGAGGCAATTCTCTTCTAAGTTCAGCTCTTAATTAATAGTCAAATGCTGCGGTACGAACCTAAAAAGTATGCTTAACGTGGTGCAGGTCTTTCTCTTAAGATGGCGGTACGCGTCAATCTATTCAACGCGAGAATCAGCGAAGCAGCTGCCAAGATTTTGAAGAGCAGCATTCAATGCCGCACTTAGAAACAACTCATACTGAGAGTCGTTATTATAAAAAAGAACATATCAAATTCAGAATTTTCAGTGTAGGCTTACAACGGATCACAAGTGAGTAATTGTGACACATTGATAATCTTCTTAGTGCACTAGATTTTTTCAAGATTATTTTGTCACTCAACCTCTAAGTAATCATAACCCAATCTTCAAGGATATGATATACCCTATTGTGTTATAGGACACCAAATTTTGAGACGTAACTCTATACCCCTAATACACCCATTCATAATCCGACTAATTGCGACAATATGCAACTTTCTGTACAACATAAAGTCCACAGTACGTAACTTCTTTGAAAGTCAGCAACATAAAGACGGTTCAATACATGAAATGAACCTCATGACGCCACTACTGCATCTCTCAGCCTCCTACAGCACACCAGCTTTACCTTATACGCGCGAGTCATACGCCTGATATCATATACATACGTCTCAAAGACATCCATGTCTCTAGAGACGTGCTTCCACCTAAATGCGACAAGACCGAAACTTCCTGTCGATCCACAGTTCCATCAAGTAGCCACATTGACAACAACGAAGCGCCCTGTCTGAACGTTTTTCGACCAATCGCCTGTCTTTCAACACGTACAATTGCACGATGCATCTTCTTCCGAGAAGTCGCCTCAGTCGCCCTTTCACTCTTTGACTCCTCTATCGTTGGATACTCGACCAAGACGAACGCCCATTTGTCTTGTGTCACGCTCAACGGGTAATTAAGTCGTTGCAGCATTTATAAACCCAAGAAATTTTTCACACTTGGTGATGCTGGAATTTCCGCTCCACGATGGTTTTTTTCCACAGATTACACTTAGTCGAGAAGAAGTGAGATATTATAAGCGATTGGGAAAAGAGCGCGTAACGCAGTTGATTCGGATTATTGAAGATGCTGATTGTGCGTATAAGTGGAAACAAGTGAATGATTTTGGACCTGGAAGACCAAAATCGCGTGTTTTAGGCCTTCGTTTTGACACAAAGGACGAAGGATATGTACCGTGCCAACAAGCAAGTTTTTTGGATATTCAACCAAGTACGAAGTCAACACAAGCATCCACATTACTTCAAGCTAGTGTTCAATTGACGAATACAACAGTGGATGAAGTCTTGTGCGCAGTCGCTAAAGTGAAGACGAAAGATTTTCGAAAAAGTGCTCAATACATGCACGGGGATACGTTTGTGGACGGTAGGACGTTATTTACTTTTCCTACCACTTCATCTCAATCTGGCGCTACTACTACACGTAAAAGACCGTCATATTCGTATCGTGCCATTAAATGGCATGCATATAAAACCCGACGATCGCGTCATGGAGAAGCTGAGAAGTTTCTGGATTTTTGTTATTTAGAATACGCCGGCAAGAAAAAGCCTTATCCTGGCTCAAATGTCGTAGGCTTTTGCATCCAGGAATCTATCTCAAGAGATCGTGAGGTCCCGACATTAGAGAACTTTGGTATTGCAAGAGGATATTTGTCACGAATGGGTATTATCGTGTCAAGAACGCACCAGCCAAATACATTAAAAGTCACTTCAATCTGTCAGATTGATGGAGATCTCAGTCCTATTGTACGCCGAGTTTTAGAAGAGTTGATGAAAAAGACTGTGTGTGCAGTAGCTCGAATCTCAGGACTTGTAGCTCGACAACGTGTGAGTAGCTTGCAATTTGTTGAGCAGTGGCAATGGGTACCTAATTCGGATCGTAAAGCCTGTTCCGTATGTCTACGTGGCTTTTATTTCCGTCGTAAACACCATTGTCGAACGTGTGGAGAAGTCGTGTGCTCATCCTGTGCATTACTTCGGGAATTGGAAGAACCAATTTTTGAAATCACGCATTTAAGAGTGTGCTCTGCCTGCATGACAAGTGCTAGCGCACATCACAACGTGGCGGCTGGAAGCGCCATTGGAACAGGAGACGAGCCTGCTTCGTCTACTTCAAACGACACCGAGTCGTATATTCGCGGTCTTCGTAGTCCGCAACATAATTCGTACGAAGATGCTATCTTTCAATTGCGTGAATCACGTGATCGTGACCGTCGACAGAGTGATTTGGCCAGTGAAGTGCTAGAACGATCCGGTACGGATCGAAATCTAGCGATTTTACCTCCTCCACGTGTTGTAAGTCCACTGAAACGTGGTCAAGACAAATTGATGGCACTCACAGAAGTTGTGAGTCATATTCGCCAAGTACGTGATACAATTAATTTAACAATGTCGAAAGCAGCGGATGGAGAGCGACATGATGACTCTAGTGACGGCACAGAAGAGTTTAACGACATGTTCAGTGAAATAACGAGTATTCGCGATGTGCTTGAGAGTTCTGTCACGAATTTCGATGCTGCATTGGCGAATGCGACGAATGCCGCACCAGCCATGTATTATTCGGGTCCAAGTGACCGTAGTCTCGACTCATACCAAACACATGAACAAACACAAGATGTTCCAATGACTCGTGATCAATTTAACTCTGTCGCACGTATTACCTTTGCAGCAGCAAAAGCTACAAGACAAGCTGGTCAAGCTTTTTTAGCGGTCGGGGGGCGTCAAACTCACGCACCTTCTCGCACGAAAAAGAACAAAAACGAGTGCGACGAAGTGACATCTGTGAGTTCAGTAAGTGTGAGTGATATAACAGGGTGCGAGAGCGATGATGAAGACCCGGATCCATATTCGGCATCCAATTACGAGAAAATCATGGCAACGTATCAGCTTGAGAACGTTGGCTCGGACCATGAGGATGAAGACGAGCGACATTATTCTCACCGTTTTGTCGACTCGGTGCGCCGCACAGCCGAAATTTATGAGCTCGAGAAAAAAATTCAGGATTTACAGCGCAGTCTACAAGCCGCACAGCAAAAACTCGCTATGATCGATCGGGAAGAACCTGAACCGGAAGCGAAATCACGACAGAGATTGGAAGCTGTGCGGGAATGCTCGGCACAGATTGAAATTGAAAGCGTTTTTGAAATCTTTGGCGACCGTGACGAAGACAACAGGTCGATGCTGGACGATGGAACCTCCTCTAGTTCTTCCGACTTTGGACCTTTGTCGATGCCGTCAGAAAACTCCATATTGAATGAAGTGACGACTCAAGATCTTGTATCTGAACTTCGTGGTGTCATGGAGTCTAGTGAGATGCCCATGCGAGCTAGTGGTACATCACAAAAGTTGCTGAATAAGTCGTCAATATCTCCACTACCTCCCCTATCCAACTATCCTACAGTCACCAATGCTCCTTCGATCCCACCTTCTTCACCACTAAAGCCACAAAGCTATTCCTCACGCCACCCTTTACTTGCACAGCCCACCACTAAGGTATCGGTTGGATTCAGTGACGAGAGCGCTATAAGTGCTAAAAAGAGCACCATACCTAGTCCATACGACCCATCCGTGGCTGGTACAGAAGAGTCCTACTTGCAAGCACTAGGGACAACGTACGGCGACGATGACTACGCTTCAGAATCATCCGAGGAAGACAGTGACGAAGATACTTTCGATAAATTGTCGCTACTTAGCAGTCAAGATTCTCCTGACTCTCAGTTTGAGAAGAACGAAAATCCCGAAACGCTTTTCGTGGAAGAAAACCTCGAAGTTCTGCTTCAAAAGCGAAAAGCAGTGGCAAACGATACGCCTTCTCCCCAACATTCTGCGATGCCGTCTTCTCCTTTTGCTCCTGTTGACAGAGATGAACGTGACGAGCTTCGAGAGCTTATGGCTGGACTTGTTCGACCTCGTAGCTCATCCGTCCCGTTCCAGTCTGGCCAAATGGGCGGCGTTTCGTCCGGTGAATCGTTGCATGATTTTATCGATCCAGTATGGAGTGACGAAATTCCTGACCGTAAGCCAACAGCCCATCGACTAAACGAAGCTGTTCGTGAGGTCCGTTCGTGCCTCGCAAGCTGTCGTTGTGAGTGTCCGTCCGACACGGAACGAGCACGTAAACTCACCTCAATTTTTAAGGTGCTGCGATCTCTCCATCGCGAAGGCGTGCGTTCCAAGTTCCGTACGCTTCAGCACGATGATATCCGATACTCGAAGGTACTTAAGGCGACTCCCAGTATTATAAAGTTACTTAAACTCGCTGGATACGTGTCGTTGCACCAAAAACTTACAATGCGACGAGTGGATCAGGATTATCTCGCTTTGATTTTACGAGAGCTGGAGCAAGAACTTCATGTTGCTGGGTAAATCAACTTCTATCGCACCAAATTTTTACTAGTACTCAAATGCAGATTTCAAGCATTTAAGATAGACAGATAACAAACGTAGACTTTATAAACCGAAGAACGTGTTCAACTACGTTTACAAAGTTCATGATTTGTATATGCTTTAAAATTATCATCAATGGGGATTTACAGCTATTCAAGGTGTACATTAAACAGTAAGTTGTTAATCACTTACACAGTGTGATCACAGTTAAATGTTAGGGTTGGAACTCCGTGGCTGTCGAAATAGGCTAGCAGCGTATTGACATGACTAAGCCAAGTAGAAGTGACTAGACTTTTCGTCTGAAACAAGCTGTTGAAAATGGGCCCATCTTTCAAGGTGTACAATATCACGGGGACGCGTTAATGCCCCACAATAAAATGAAGTCGTGAATGACTATGCGTGCGCCGACCACTAGCACTTGGCCCCAGCTTTCGCCTCCCGCCGAACTAAAGTCAAAAACCGGCATGTAACCACCCTCACGGCGTCTGTTTCCTCGTTGCGCTCAGTGGCAACGGCCTAACTGGGCCTCATAGCCACGCTGAAACATGATCTGCAGGCCTTCCTCAGGTATCGCAAGACTTGTAGGCTGACAATAGAGAGACCGCGTTGGTTAGTAGAGGGAAATGGAAGCCGAAACTGCGGTGCAGTTGATTTAACCCCAAATAGAACATTTCGGGCTCTTAATTATGGGACTTTGCCACTATTTAAGTGGCATCATGGAAACTTACTGACTTAAGCGATAAAAGTAGTATATCAAATGTATCTTACAAAAAATACTTAAATTGAGTGTATACTTTTCTAAAGCGAGCAAAAATACTCATTTTGAGTAATTAACCTTTTCCTTGTCCAAAATATGATGTCTCATTAAGTAACAATCTACTTCTGTTTTCGACATTACTATTTGTCACAATATAATAATCTCAACTTGTATGGCAGCAGACAACGGAGAATCATCGCCCGATTTCTGGCGTCAAGATGAACGTGACTATTATACTCTTTTAACTCTACCACGTGATGCTTCAAATAGTGACATTCGAAGCCGTTTCTTGTCTCTTTCACGTGAATTTCATCCAGATCGTCGACGACAAGGGAATGGCGAGATTGTAGCAGCTGCTAATGCACAATATGCAATTCTTGATCGAGCTTATAAAGTCTTACTCGATCCTGTGAAACGTCATGTATATGATATGTATGGTGAAAAGGTATTGTATTATTTTGTAGATAATCTTTCCTAATATTAATATGTTTCTAACCTTTGTATATTTAATAATTAGGGATTACAAGCGTATGAACAAGATCAAAGTTCCCACCAATATATTGTTGGCACTCATTTCAATACTCAAGAAGATCTTCACGAATATATTGAAAATCTTTTACGTCGAATGAATGAACAAACTTTAGCGATCAAGTTTCCATTCCATAGTGAAATGTCCATGACAATTGATGCTTCAGACTTTCTACAGACACCAATGAAAGGAATTTCAAATCTTTTCAATCATGGAAAACAATATCTCGATCGACCAGAAATGACATTTCATCAACGTACGGAATTTTTACTTTCACGTCAAACATCATTGACAATTGGAGGATTTTTATATGATCGAAATGGATTAAGTATCGGAAGTTTTACAACAGGAATTTCATACAAATCCTTCACTCCAAGTTTTCCATCGTTTACATTATCAACTCAATTAGGTTGGCGACCTAAAGTTCAATGTCAAATGAGTCAACAAATTTCACGATATACAGTTTTGATGTTCATTCCAGAAATTGATGAAAATGGAATTGATCTTTCTATTGGCATGAATCAACTTTTATCTTCACAAATGCATGGAACGATGATGTGGAGTACACGTGATGGTTTATCAGGATCGTTAAATCATGATACAAATCAACAAAATGCTACTGTTGCTCTTGCTGTGAATAGTGCTGGACCAAATTTGACATTTCAACTTCGTCGAATAATTGCAATGACATCAACAATAAAAGTTTCAATACGTGCAAGTTTATTAACTGGAGTGTCATTTGTGACTGGTATAAGTCAAGAAGTTTCTGATCGTACACGTCTTGCTATTGGTGTTTTACTTGCACGTGCTGGTATCACACTTCGTCTCGGATTTACACGTGGTAATGTTCGTTTTGTGATGCCCATTTTTCTCTCTCCTTTTTCAATTCAATCAGCATATTTTACCTTTTGTGCTGCCACGTCACCATTTCTTGTGGCTGCAGTTCTTTCTCAAATTATTAAACCGGCACAAGAACGTCAACGTCGTTTTGAACGTCAAACTCGTGAAATGATGCAACTTCAGTATCTTGCTACTGCATTTCAAAGTGCTCAAGAACAACAGAAATTGATGCTTCGAAGTGCAGAAGAAAAGATGAAATTAGAACGTGAACGAAGTGATGGAAAAGGGTTGATGATTTTGTTAGGACGTTATGGAAAGAATCCAACGAATTTGAATGAAGACAATGTGGAGGAGAATGATGAGAATTTTAGGTTTGAAGATGAAAGTCACGAGACTTTGATCGTACAAGAAACGACGATGAAACATTCAAAACAAACGTGTATTGATGTGACGATTCCACTTCAATTTTTTGTTAAGGTAGCAATTTGAAATGATGAAGTTTTGATTGATTGTTTAATGTCAAGTTTTATTGTAGAATGGAGAACTTTGTCTACCTTCCGCATCAAAAGCTGGCCTCTTAGGCTTTTATAATCCATGTCTGAATGAAGTGGATTCACAAACAGCTAATTCGTCGACTAACAAACCTTTGCTGTACGAATGATTGAAATTATGAACTTGTTCTTCATTTCTTAACATTCTTTTGAATGCAGATATATACGATATGTGTACGATGGTCAAGTGTTTGAAGCGACTTTTGATGATCATCAAGCTGTTAGTTTGCCATCAAAATACGCTCAAGTGATGGGACCTGCTGGACGTGTGTACTAGCATTTTGTAGCTTGGTTGAGAATGTTATTTCTTTAGTTGTTTCATCGTTCAATGACTCGATAAAGTGATCGACAAGTACGTTCAATGCTATTGTCTCGTCATCTTTTTGACATTTCTCGAGTTCTAAATGTTGTTTTACGTACAAGATAGTAGCAAATGCCTCCAAAAAGTCGGAATAGTTCAATTTGGTACCTAAGAAAAACGCATTTGACTCAATTTCATTGCTAGTTTCATATTGATGTCTTCCGATCTTTAAACATTCAACTGGAACAAGTGGAAAAGAACATTCAAAGGCTTGATTGAGTGCTGCAAGTGCATTACTAAGTTGAAAGTCAGGAGTAAAGATTGATGATTGATTATAGAGCATGGTAAGAAGTGATTGAATCGTCACATCTCCTTTGGTGATCATTTGATTAGCACATTTCTCGTACAAGGATTGCAAATGTTGATGATGTTTTATGAATGTACAGTGCAATGATTTACTCATTAACTCGCTTCGAAGACATGACAACCATGTAACTTGTTGATTCTCTTTTATACGATGACGTTTAATCATCATTTGATTGTAGAATTCTGAAAAAATCTCTGCAAGAAACTCAGTGTTGTCATAATTTTCAAATAATTCAATAGATCCATCGACATGAGCCATTTGAACCCACGAAGATGCAATTCGTACAAGCAATTCAAGAAATTCTCGAAAAAGAAGAACTTGATTATGTGGTACAACATTCAAACGAGTGAAGTTAAATGGATCTTTGTTATCGTTTGATAAATTTGCAGTTTCTTCAATAAAATTCATGGAAGACGCTTCAGTTAAAGCTTTTGTTCGTTGTGCTGTACGGATATCATTTAAAAAGTTTTCAAGTTGATTCTTTGACAAGTAAAAGCCACAATGAAACAAAAGTTTTCGACATTCCACAAGTTCTAAACGATTTCCAACATCTCTGAAAGTGACACATTGACGTGATTCTTCAAGATATTCACGATATAATGTACGCAATTCAGTATTAAGACGTAAAACTGAATGTACAACAGCTTCTTGAGCTTGTTCAAGCTTTTGAATGTTTAAAAATGAAAACAGATCGTTAATATACAACATCACACCATTTTCCTCGACATTTGGTTTAGAAATGACACCAAAATTACTTCGATCTTGATGATAACGACCAACAAATACACGTCCATCTTGATAGAAAAAAAGACCCCAACCATCTTTTTGATTTTCTTTCCATTCACCTTCATATTGTGCTCCATTTGAATAATAAAAGACACCACGTCCATGACGTTTTCCTTGATACATTTCACCTTCGTACCAATTTTTATCGTACATTGTACTTTGATACCATACGTATCGTCCAAATCCATGTGGTCGATCATATTTCCAATCACCATCGTACATTTCAAGGGGTATCTTACGACTAGTCGAGTCAAGTGTAACCCAAGTCATCACTCCATGTCCATGTTTCACATCGTCTTTCCAATCCCCTGCATACATACTACCGTCTTCATAATACATAACTCCATAACCATCTCGCTTTCCAGCTACAAAGTTTCCTTCGTATCGAACATTGCGTACATTATCATATACTAATTCACCGTAACCATGTGGTACACCATCAAACCATTCACCGGAATACCGACCAATCTTTTTGACGTCTAAATGCATTTCTTTTTCATTTTTAGAAATAATACCATTTGAAACTTTTTTATCTTCTTGCTCTTCTTTCGTAGCTACAACACCTTGTTCCCCCGTCTCAAACACTCCATAACCATGTCGTTTACCACATTTCACGTCTCCAATGTATTTACTTCCATTTGGCCACCAATACGTTCCTTTTCCAGTAATTTCATTATATTTTACATCTCCTTCGTAAGTAATATTACTTGTATGCCAATTAATACGTCCTATACCATGTAATCGACCATAATAAAAGTCCCCAGTGTACGTAAAGTTCGTTTTAAATACTGCTTTTCCTTTCCCATGATACACTGGATCATCACACTCTGGTATTTGTACTGTCTTTCCGTCATACTGATGTAATACATGTGATAGTATGCGAGAATCTAATGGTCGTACAGAATTCTTCACGACACATTGAGTCTCCATTCGACAAAGCGTCCGTTATAACACAATACTTCAAGTTATTGATAAAACTTCACATTAAGTTCGTTTCTAACTTATCTCAATACATTCCCAATTTCGTTTCTAACGTCCCGTGTCGAACACTTGCTCCAGCTTCTTGATCGTTTTCTATGACGCTTTCTACTCCATTCCCATCACTATCAAGCAATGATTCATCACGTTTTAAACCTCATCTTACGATATCTACACCTTCACTTCATCGTAAGCGTCTTTTCTATCGTAGAACATACAAACACGTTGGGAACTCAAGTACCTCCATTAAACGAAGAAAATCATCTCCAGAGCCTTTTCCTGACGATTCAAGTTCATTTTCGTCTACATTATCGCCATCAACGACACAAAGTACCGTATTACCTCCAACTGATCAATCTAATCCTCAATTGAAGATTCAACCACATCTTTCACCTATTGTGACATCCTCAAGTCTTTCGCCTGTACCATTACTCGCTAGAAGTTCTCCATGTCCATCAACGTTATCAAAACATGATTCCAAGTCTTTTTCATCATCATTAAAGTCCGAAACTTCTCAACAATTGATGCCACCTGCACCTCATCCCTTTCGACTTTCGGATTTCTTTTATAAAGAAATTTTTGGAGTTCATGACATTAAACAAAGTGATGATGTGCATCAAGAACGTGTCCAGAATTTTTTTGTTGTGCCGTTAAATACTGAACAATTATTTCTCTTTGGTGTCTTATTAGCACTTGATAGTTTTTTGTACGTCTTTACGTACTTACCACTTCGAATGTTCTTTGCTTGTGGATGTGCTGTGACATCAGGATTTCATGCTCAAGTCTTTCGTCGAACACATTTTTATGATTTAATGGTTGCTGTGATTATTGGAGTTGGTACTATGGTGTTAACATACGTGGATATGTCGCGAGTATATCATGCAATACGAGGTCAAGCTATGATTAAACTTTACGTTTTATTTACAATGATTGAAATATTTGATCGTTTATTTTCCTCGCTTGGACAAGATATTTTGGATTCGTTATATTATACCGTCAAATATCATCCACGTCGTATCACTCGTTTGTTTCTCGATTTTACTGTTGCAATTACTTACGTGGTTTTACATGCACTTTTACTCTTTGCACAAGTTGTGACATTAAATGTGGCAGTAAATTCCAGTAATTCGTCGTTGTTAACATTACTCATTTCCAACAATTTTGCGGAACTGAAAAGTTCGGTATTTAAAAAATTTGAAGAACAAAATTTATTTCAAATTAGTTGCAGTGATATTGTCGAGCGCTTTAAATTATTGACAATTATTGGGCTCATTCTTTTGCAATCATCAACTCGTGATGTCGCATGGGGAACGGTACGCAATGTTGTTTTTGTTATATTGCAATACCTTAAAGCCTAATTTTTGAATTATCTTTCGTTCTAGGCTATGGTTTTAGTAGCTGAAATGGTCATTGACTGGCTTAAACACGCATTCATTACGAAATTTAATCAATTGCCACCAACAATGTATTCAAAGTTCATCACAATTCTTTGTCGTGATTTAACAGGATGGAAAAGTGAAGATACGATCTTAGATCATACACATCATGTATCGAAACGATTGGGCTTAATGTCCCTTCCATTGGCTTGTGTTGTCATACGTATGGTCTCCAAAGCTTTAACGGATGTTCCAATCACATTCTTCTCGTTAAGTGGAAGTTTCGTGCTGATTGCTTTTTTTCTATGTTTGGCAGCATTAAAAGCTTTCTTAAGTTTAGTTCTAATGATCTATGCTTGTCAATCTGGTCGATTAGATGATACAAGGCCAAAGAGTCCACGCTCTATTCATCATCTTGAATCTATTCATCGGTACAATTCATAAACAATATCAAAACTTTTTCATTATTGTTTTATTGTCAATTGTTTTATCGTTAAGCACCTTGTTAACGCTTTCGTTAAGAGTGGTGGCTTACTGATACAGCATACGATTCGTCTTCCTGCCTTACGAGTCCACTCCTACCAACGCTCTTCCCTTTTCCTTCCCTTTAATACAAGTGCCTACCACATGCATGCTTTCTCTTTTTCTTTTCTACAACTTGGCCAAAACTTCCTCCACTTCTTCTACCTCTTATGCACGACTTGTAGCATTTAATCCCTCACTAACCATCCTGACATTTCCTTCACTACTATGCATACGAGTGTCTCGCGTTTGAAATTGTTGCATTTCATCGATTCCAGTCCCATGGAAAGATTGTGAAGGCAAATAACTTGTTCCAGTGACACTCAAATGATTCATCGTAGAATGAGTCGTAGGTTCATATAATCCATCGAATAATCCTCCATCAAGACCCATGTCCATCGTTGGAAAGCGCTTAAGAATACGTGCAGTAATCCGACGTCCACCAGATGTATTCTTCATTGCTGCTAAATGAGGACGAATGGCTTTCACAAGCAATAAACATTGGTCTTCAGCACACACACATAATGCTCGTTGTACAACATAATTGGCAAATTGGTCTTGTAGCATCTTGTTTAATTTCAAACACGTAGTAATTTCAGCAATATACTGTTGTCGCACACGTTCCGGCGCTTTTTCAAGACACTTTTCAATCACATTCGAGCTAAATTTTTGAATCGACAATTCAAAAATGTGTCCCAATGGCTTAAGAATGACACCATACGCTTCTTCAGCAGTACAAGAATCCAAAACATATTGAACGACATAATTTCCATAGGGATCTTGCATTAATTTCATTGCCTGTCGTTCCACTTGTTCAATCACTTCAGTCTTTTGTCGCTTGTTAGCAGCATCAAGACAACGTTGTAATACACAACAACCGTGACGATGTGTCCCAACTGTCGTACATTCTTGACACACTGCATCAAAAACAAATTGATTGTACTCGGGTTTCATAAATTGCAAAGCTCGTTGAATCACATGATTCCCATTGGAATCAATACACAATCGTACAGCATCATCTTTCAAAGCTTCCACGATTAAATCTGGCAAACTCGTTGTACGACGTGTTTCCGATTCTCCTTGCGATGCAAATCTCATTTCTTCACAATCCTCTTCATGATAATCATTCTCAATCACATTCGGTGATAAAGCACATACTTCCACCACCTTCTGCACTGAACGTGTTCCATGTAAATTTAAAGCTGCAGCAACAAGATTGGAACTGACACGACGAATAATTACCAGTCGTTGAGTCTCTTTCACACGTTCAAGTAATTTTTGAAAGAGATAATTACCAAATGGATCCACCATCATTTCAGCCAAATGATCTAGTGATTCGTGATAAATCACTTCACAAAGATCAGTACGATCTTCATAATCAAGTTGTTCTTGCAATAATCGACAACCATTTTGATCTTTTGACATGGTAAACACACGATTTTGAATATCTTCAACACTTAAAGCTGCACTTAAAGTGGACGAATCGGTCGTACAAGCACTAAGAATTGACGTATTGCTAGTCATCAGTGTACCATTCATTCCAGTTCCATTTGACGAATCGGTACGAAAATTCAGACGAGATTGTGGACGTCCTGAATATGGTACTTGCCCCATATCATCTCCATGATGACGTGGTGGTGGCATCATGTGCGATGGAGGTGGTAACATCATTCGTTGTGGATACAAAATTGAGCTAGTCGTACGTACAAGCTCAGGCGTTGACCCATTTCCTTGATGTATAAACTTACACTTGTTGCCCATTCGACAATGTCCTTGTAAGAAAAACTTACAATGTTTCATACCTACATGCATTCCCATGCTTTTACGTGGTGAATGTGGTGGACTTGCTTCTGGTAATGGCGGACTCATGCGTGCGTACATATTTTGTCCACTTGTCCGACCTAAAGGTGGACGCATCCCATAATGATGTGACATTATATCCATTGGATGTCGCATGGTATTTGCACGTGGAGCTAAAAACATTGAAGTGCTATGATCGTAAATTGGAGGTGGTGGTTGGTGATTTACAATCGGTGAATTCCATTGATGACCAACTACTTGTACACGTGTAGGTGTGGGACTGTAGCCATATGCACCATGTCCCGTCGATGATCTGTACGTTGGTGGTCGATATTGTACGTCGGGAATGTACGACGGAGTCAATGGAGTAGGTCCATAAAATTCACGCATTTGTTCATGGTACACCACTTTTGTACCAAAATCTTGGTTTGACCAGGAATCATCAAGTGACGGATGCAACATATAGGTACCACTGTACCCAGTACTTGACGTGGGTACTGTAGTCCCTCGCACAAGAGATGGGGGCAATTGTTGTTGGACAGAGTCGCGATGACTTCTTGCTGAAGACTGAGCACGATATCGACCAGAGAGTGAATCGTCCGTCACGGCGTTCAATTGAAAGTGTCCAGTAGCATACACATTTGCATTTCGGGTTGTACGTACATTTGTTGGATCATTCGTGCCACAAGTAGGTCCATGCAACTCATTCAATTGTCGATCTTCCAAACTCAATTTTAAAAAATTTCCACCCAGAGCTTGACTTGGCGATTGCGATAAAAACATTTCGATACTATTCTTACGTCGTGTATTACGAGACGATAGTAACGTTGTATGCACTGGTGTCTCCATCGCTCGATCACTTAAGTCATGTAACTCTGTCGTTTCTTTCACGTCATGTGTCACTTGATTCGATGCGGTCAAAGTGTCAGAATGATTGTTTTGACATACACTCTCAACCTTTGACGTGGTCGTACTTTCAGTAGGAGATGCAATTCCAGTTTCCTCTTTGTCCTTATAATGCATAGAAGCAAACAAGTCGCTAGAGCTTCCAAAGCGAAAGAGATGCAATTTCGATGTCTCGTCATTTGTATGTTCCTTGTCTGTATACACAGATCCTGTAGATGGTACATTTCCTGGTGCAAACTCCATGGTCATCAACAATCTTTTGGATGACGACACTACCTCGTCTAAAAACATAACAGTTTGATATGATTCATCAGTATACAATAGTTAGTATCACAACATGAAAGAGCGTACACAATGGATCTAGCGTCGTACGAGAGAAAAGAGACAAGATGCAAAGTGCGCATTTTTGTCTCTTCATGCTCGCCATCGCTCTCCATCCATCGCTTTGTTTTTTTGCGTAAAGTCTCACCGTATTGATTGGTTCTTCTTCAGTATACACAACGATGGTCAAGTAGATGACTGGACTTGTGTTCCGAGTAGAATTCGAGTGCCAGTCGCTAACCTATGGGGAAAGTGCCGACGCTTCGCTTTAGCTGAACGTCTGCTCTTTGGTTGGGGGGTCTAGTCCTACTTGGGTGGGCGGGAAGCGTGGGAGCAGTCACGTGTATACAGTGTATAAATTGACCTTGTATAAAGCAATATCGACTGTTGAAATAGACTCAAATACAAGCTTTTAACACTACTTTTCGAATGCTACGGACCTATCTAAAAGCATGAACGAAATAATAACCTTTGAGATTTAATGCGCATATTATCCGACTAATACACGCGACATCGTCACAAGTGTAGGTTGTATCAGTATTGTGTGGGTACATTTCACGCGTGCTAGGGACTTTAATTTCGTGATCTAAAGGGTAGAGCACGAATGAGTGACCTGTTGTTAGTACTGTAGAAGAGTCAAGCAGCATAGAGCGCACTCTTGTCTCGAATGTCAACAAGATAAAGCAAAGTGTTAGTGGTAGAATAATTGTGCATACATAGCACGAGTTAGGATACATACTAAGTCATAGGCAAATCAAATTATGCCAAGAGAAGCTTATATAGAAATATGTTGTGAGAGGCCACAATTTACGTTCGCTAGGAATTTCGCCATATAACGACTTTTAACTGAATGATGATGTGGGAACTGATAAGAATCTGGATGGTTATGAAACACTGTCATCTATGAAAATATATGATACACACGCACGGTATCATCCTTCGAGTCAGCTTGCATTACATCGAAACCTAAACATCATCAATTGCGTGAATGCAGTAGCTTGAAGACGTCAATCCCATTTTGAATCTCCTACTATCACGACTTCGTGTTCTCTACTTGTGCTCGATTGCAAATGCCTTGACAACTCATGTACCTCATCGTACATCTGGCTATTGAAAGGAGATTTGACTCGTAGTATTCGCAATAACAAACGCACTGAGGAGAGCGTCACTTAGATGCGGATGAAGACTGGTACATTGTCTTACTCAGTGATAATTCCTGAGCAAACCCAAGGACCCTTGAGTTTTAGTTTATTGTCTAAATGACAGTGGAATTTTAATTGGTGTCGGGGTCGAACTTAGTTTGAGTCTTATGTTGTTATTCTCCATATGTGTCATTCAAGTCTCTTTATCTGTCGGCGGCAAAAACTAGACGACTCGATTGGGGATATGTATATGGACCAACCTCTGGTACCGGTCCTATTCCTAACCAAAATTGGAATCGCTCATTTCAGCCGCTTTTTTAGTACTATGTCAAACACTCAGTTCGACAATTCATCAAAGCAGCGTCGGCAAAAACCCTTTTTGACACCATCTTTTATGGTAAACAACATCTTTGTTGACTCGTCATTTCTTTACTAGTCAAACCATCGTGTTCTGCGCTACACCAATTTCGTAGTCTGTTAGTTGGGCGTCTGATTTTTCTATAAGTTGGTTATGTTATGCGTCCGCAGCGATCACATTATCAGCGTTCGATTTTTGATTAGACTGTTTCTCTCAAATCGACTTTGTCAGCTCTGTCACCGGCGGGGTGGCCCATTTGTCATTGTTCTTTACCACATCGTTCTTATGTCGTCATTTTTATTCTCGTCTGATAATCCTGGCTACCACCACCGCGGCCCTGAAATTCTTCGAGGTGGTCCTGTAGATTTTACTTTAATCTTATTAGTTAGACCAACCCTTACTCTGGAGCACCTTCATCAACATGTCGTTTCAAGTCGGTATTATGTTGACTTGATATTAGTTTTTTCTGGAAGACTGTTGTGTTTTGAGTCTTCACGATGCCATTAGCCTATTCATTCCATACAACTGCCAAGTTGTTCGACCTTTCATGTACAAGACCGTCTTTTGATCGTGCTAACTCTTTGTTGATGAGTGCGAAACATTTTAATTTTAAGGTCTAATGAAAGCGCTATTTGCCCAAATCAAATTTACGCTGATTTAAAAATTGGAATAAATTTGATATTAGGAATTTTCAATGTTTGGTGAGTCCTCAACTAAGATCTTTGTCGAATGTAGGATTCCGTGTAATATTTAGCTGTCGTAGTACTTACACTTTCCAGATAAATTTGCCGTAGAGTGTAAGGTGGTCGAAGCCCGATAACGGAAGCATACAGTGATATGCTTCAAGGCTTCATTAACTAGATTCTAATGATCTGGATCAGTATGCGGTACTGATAGAACTCACTTCAACTTGACACCTTGTTGTTGCACTTGTGTCACAACAAACTACGGATTATGCTGAATTTGGATTAAAGTTTTGACGTCAATTGCCATACCAAGGTGTGTCGGGAGTGATTTATGGATTCGACCGTGTGTGAAAGTTGTGTGCCAGTTGAGTGGTGATCACAAATACTGGGGTGAGTGTTGATGCGCATTAACTCTCGACGTATAGTCTGAGCCGTTTGCACTGGTGCAGATAGCTTGGAAGTCTAGTGTAGTACCTGAATTTGATCTTGTTTGGTATTCATATGAGGAGTGAAAGTACATGGGCGCGGAAGATAACTTGCCACAGGAGCAGTATTTGAGCTTGATACTGAGTTAACCGATATCAAAATTGCGATCAAAGTGTCGATAATCGATTGTTTGTGTAGATACTGCTGAAAGGCTGCAATTCGAACCTGTGCAAAGTGTGATATTAAAAGCGAGACTAACACGTCGTGCCTCGAATTTGTGCGATGTTTGGAAGTCGAAGCGTGAGCATGAGGCGTAGTTAGTGCGATAAGTCTTGATGTTCTCCAACTTGTAAGATGTTGCGTTGTCCGATGAGCGGTATGTTCAAATCATTTGTGGATCGACGTGCCATTTTTGAATACTTCGGATAGCCGTCGATCGCACCACACTAGGAATCTTGAAGCTTACCGCCGATTCCTGAGCCGTTTGCACCTGTGAAGATGTCATGGAAATCTAGTGTTGAGATCTTGACCATCTTGTTAAGCGTTTGACTTGTATAGACTAAGTAATAGTCCAAAATCGACAAAGTGAACAGCAGTACGTGGTACTGAAATTCGAGCTTATAGCCGTATTTATCGTGTCGAGACGTGGAGAGTGTAAAACTAAAAGCTTTGGTTAAGGACGCCTAGAGCCAGGAAGTTTGAGTTTCACCTCTGAAATAGCTCACAAGAAGTAAATAAGGTCCTACCCTTAGGTACTTCGTGTGTTTGACTCGTAAAATGTTAAGCTGTTAACGTCTCCTTGACTGCAGACTTGTGCTGTATTACTGTCTTTTCAACATAAAGATTTTGAGCGGTGCGGCCTATCAGGGTGGGTAGCTCGAAGCTATTGCTAGCAAAAGAAATAGTCGGCGCAAAATCGCCTGATTGTTCAATTTGAAGAACTTCTGCTGAAAGCCAGTCAGTAGCGCGGTCGGTAAATTCGGGAGGGGGTCTCTTTCCACGAATTTCCTTACTCAATTTGGATCCACGCTTGCTCGACCGTTTTCTTTGATAAACTCTCAGGCTCGGTCTGATCTTTTTAGCAGCTGTACATGATGTTCACCCAGGAATACAGTGCTACGGCTTCAATTATCGTAGCTATCAATTTTGTCGTTGACGGTATAGCATGTATTGTAGATAGCGTAGAAATAGCTGCAATCACGTATGTTGCGAAAAGTATTCCATTTTTGCCATAATGGATTGCTGACTGGCTAAAGAGTGTAGCCAATTTCACAAATGCATTATGTTGTGCGTGAATACGACTTTCCACTCTTTTGTAAATAGTATTGATTCAAGTGTGTCTTTTAAAGTTCATCTTATCGAAAGTGCCAAGCGTTCAGTCTGTTATATACAAGGGCGTGATGGCGCGTCTTGCAAAGACGAAATATCAATGTTGTCAGGTTGTCTGTTTTGATAAAGTCATAATGCACGATGTACACAACAGCGCACAATATTGATGATCGCATAAAATCTCATAAATTTCAAACTGTTGTATAGTCGAATGTTGAAGTCGAGTAGAGTGGAGGAAGAGAATCAATCTAATGTTCTAATAATAAAATAGTTGAATGGTTTTAAGACGACTTTCCATTGGTTTAATGCCATTCTGTAAGCCGAAGAAAGATGCTGGGGATCTTCAATGTTTGGTGCATCCATGTATACACGTACGCTTGATATGACTTCTGTTCTACATCTAAAATTGTACCAACTTTGTGTCATTGACGGAAAATGAGACTCGAGCATGCTGAGAACACATGTCGATCTAACGTGTATCCAAATTGCCATGTATCTGTCCTTGAAGTAAACTCCGTAATCTGAAACACTTCATTACTTGAAGCTTTGGTAGCGGTGTACCAATTGAGTCTTCAATAGTTGCTTTACGAAGTCACGGTTGGAAATGTTGATGACCATTTTTTTAGTTCTAACGTAAATTGAACATTCTATCTGAATATAACGAGTCGATCCATACATAAGTTTATGTGGGGGAATCAAGTGAAGCCACGAAAATTGTCCAGATCGGGCGAAATGTTCCACATGAAGTGAACGCTGTAGTAAATTTGTGTTGCAACGCTCCTAAAGTGCTCCACAAAGTCTTGCAAGTGGTTTAACCCAAGTGCCATCAAAAGAGATTAGTGCTTTTACTGACTTCGGCCAATGGAGTTTTGGCCTTTTAAAGTTGATATTGTAGACATTATACTATAGAGGCACGACTTGCACGAAATTGTTCCAATCTGTGGAACCGTGAGTAGTGTACAGCTCCGCCCGTACGCACAAAGTAAGTTTCCAATTATCAAGAAGCCCATTCCGTTGCTTTTCTTTTTTCACTTCGTTGCATTTTTTTAGATCTGCAATCAGAATGTCAAGTCAGTACCAAGAAGGCCCAAGATTTTTGTGATGAGTTGAAGTGCTAAAGTTTATCTCCGGAATACAGCATTAATTTATCGAAGCAATTCCACCCCTTGGTGTCTTGAGGTACATAGTTTGGATAAAGGCCTTGACGTCTTGAGGTACATATTCTGGATAAAGGCCTTGACAGGTGTGGATCCTACCCTACCGTTCGCAACACATGGAGAGTCACTCTTCGTATCTTTTGAGTGAACAAATTTTGATAATGACGTCCTCGGTAAGAAAATTTGGTGTAATAGACACCACACTGGTTGTAGGTAAGATGATGTTTTGTAAGAGCACCAATTTGCCACCGTTGTACGTGCACGGTACTTTCATACGGCACATCTTATTTGTAATCTGCTGACCATAGCATGAATAACATTGCTTGGGTGTCACAGCCAAGCAAGTACTCCGTCAAGGCGCGGCTGTGACACCCAAGCAATGGTTTTTATGCTATGGTCAGCAGATTACAAATAAGATGTGCCGTAGAAAACGCGATCGCTCGCGATATGCCTGGTTAGGCGGCGAGAACACTCGCAAAAGCTGCAGCTTCAGCTTCGTCCAGGGGGAAACGCCGCTTCGACCAAAGTGCCCATTCTCGAGCTCGACCACCGAACTTGGAGATAGCTAGCACCGCGCGCTATTGCTCGGTCTGGAGCATGCGGACGCCATAGCCATCTTGGCCTCTCTTTCTTAGAGCAGGGAAAGGTCTTAACGCTCACCATGAGCGACATGGGTTGGGAGGAGTCATCCGTTGTCGACAGTGGCGTCATGGACGCAGTCGACGCCAATACCTTCAACTCTCGATTATCTAGCAGAAAGTTTCCATAGCTCGAAATTCGTCTCCAGGCGCGCGCTGATCACTTCAGGTCCTTGCATAGCGAGGTGTTACGCCCTCAGGGCCAAGCATAGACATCAGCTTTTTTAGCCCGTCCTGCATGCCCTGGGGCAAATAAGAGAGCTGCTCTATCCTCACATAGGATCAGTCATAACGACTAACGTGTAGATTGACTACAAGTGCTACCAAATGCAGCGGGGCTGCCATAGCTCTTTCGCCTATAGGAAGCTAAGCTAAGGTCAATGACCTTTCGTTCTAAACTTGAAACCAGTACGAGTGTAGCGGATCGCAATCCGCTTTCTCCGAGGAAAAGTACACCTTAACCCAAGGCAAATTAACTCTTCCGTTCAAAATGTTAAGTGTATATCTTTGTTTATTCGCTGCAAAGCCGCCTATATCTAAATCTATGGGTTTTCCTATTAAATAGTAAAATCTGATTAAAATGCATAAGTACTGGCAACCAGCCACGTAGTGACTTCTTGATAAGATTTAACCGGTCACACCATCTAGTGTGGCCCATTCCTTTATACCGGGATACGTATAACCCCGTTATACTCTCCCTTTAAAAGTGTGAGCACATTTCACTGTCTATGAACTGGTTCTTACGCCATCTCAATCACATGAGTTACGCGCAAGAATTCAGGAAACGAATGCAAAAGTCTATCGAGAGGCGAGGTTGGGAGGCGAGGTCGGGAGGCGAGGTCGGGAATTTCATCGCGACGAACAGGTTCAAGGCGGCCGAAGCAACAGACAAAGGCGTAAGATGACGGACAAAAAGGGCTTGTACGTAGTCTGTGGTGGCCTTTTCTTACACGCTTGTGTTAGAGAAGACAAATTAAAAAGTATGGATGGGTTTCGAGTAATTGATGTTCATCAACTTCAAGATAGATGTGATTCTGGAGGGCCAAATATTCAATATGATGGACAAATAGCGCTTGGATCACGAGGTGATGTAAATGACCATTTGTTTTTAGAAAATGTACTCACGTGTGTAAAGTGGCCTAATCCATTATTTTTTAGCTATATTTCCGCCGCGAGTTTAGTCGTATTAATAGCCTCCATGTTCTTCGACGCTATATAACGCGCACCTACTGCTTCTTATCGAGAGAATACCACGAATGATGTTGCAAATGACATGCAATGAGGCTCCAGAATTTAAAGTGCTAAACACTGTCTTCCAGTACCCATTAAACGATTAACGCATGCACTTCCTGCAAAGCAATATGAGTTTAATAAGTTGGAAACGTCTACGATGTGTCACCAACCTAAATAATCATATGACAGTAATATACGTGTTAAGTCTTTCAGATGCAGCTTGACGCTAACAATACATATTTGCTGACTCGGATAGTGGGGCATATCGGCGTGATCACTATGCTCTCAAAAGTTTGAAATTTTTTCGCTTTAACCGCTTGATAGATACAACATTTTAGCTTAATTATGCCAGATGATCACGCCAACGACTTTCAAATGGGAAGAGTTATAGAAACATGGCCGCTCCAGCCGAAGTACATCCGTAAACTTAGCTTTTTATATCAGCGGCCGAAAGTGCTACTGTCATCTTTTGAATAAAAAGTAACATACTAGTAAGTGCCATAACTAACAAGCCCATAAGTATAGATTGGTGAACTTTCAGGATCGTCATCAGCCATAGTTATTACGCTTGATATTTGCAGCTGTCGAGCAAATACTGCTATTTTGAAGCTAGCACGGACATTTTTAGCTGCCATCCTCCATCTCTTACACTACATTTGACAATTTTTTTGCAATGCTATTTCTAGCCGGTCAGCTCCAAATTGAATTATCGGCAAGATCTTAATGATGATTAACGATAATTGAAAAAAAGCAGCACTTATGTAAATCAAACGACACTTCGATAAAGGAGATATATTCTTGCAATATTAATGTCGGTCTGCTTGGTAGAACTCATGTAAGCTACTTAGTTTCGTCTGGCGCACGGCATCACAAGTTATAGAATATCGTCGCTCACCTTAGTTTTTAAACACGAACGTAAAGTATGCTGTTTGATGTTTCGATAGCAATTTGGTAGTGAAACGACTTTACTGAACCAATGCAAACATGAGTAAGAGAAATTTAGATGCGGATGTGTTAAATCGTTTTCCGCTCTTATCATAGAGCCCCTTTCGGTAGCTTCAGTTTGTTTATTCTCCTTGTTCGTGGTTTCTGAGTGATGTCAAGTGTATAGTTTACCGCATCAATGACGCTCAATCACTCGGCCACGCTACTCCCTCGACATCACGTGCGTTTCTACAAACATACTTTAGTGTATTAATCATCATGGCCGAATTAACTATGATTGCTTGGTTGTAAGGTGCACCCCTGTGAAATTTTAACGCCACAAACGAAAGCTAGATCTTAACTAACGCTGACAAGAAGTATTTAGTGCAGAGTGGAATCCAGTCTTGAGCGACTAAAAGATGTATAGATTCTAAAGCTGATATATCCATTATCGCGTGGCTGAATATGTACTCGGTCTGCAAGGAATTGCAGAAGCAGCAGATACCTCAGCCAGGTATGGGTCACGTTTGAAGAATAAGGTAAACAAGACAAAATTTGCTTTAGTAGAATGTATCTGTAAAGAAGATGGCAAAATCGAAGTAAATATATTTCATAAGGTCCTGACTTGGCTTCTCTGTGCTACCACTAACCTACTGATTGTAAAATGACTTGTATAGACCAATAAGCGACTATTATCATGATGTATAATCATAACAGCAACTATGTCCGAAACTGTAGTCTAATCAAATTTTATCTCTACGCTATCAGCGGTGTACATTCGATCTTCCAACTCGATGCTCTGTATGTGTGTGTTTATCGCTGGCTCGGTCTTGAGACCCAATGCCTCGTGCGGAAACTTGAGCATCTTGTTCCCGAGTGACTTCGTCAGCTTATCTGCAAGACGATCTTCATACCGATGTAGTCGATCTTCAGCAATTTTTGCTAAACGTTCTACCGAATAAAGTGGCGCCTGATCGCCACGTGTTTACAACAGACAGCTAGTGAAGGAGCGGTATGGTCTTGAGCGCGTCTTCAAACGCCAGCTTCGATACCTGGTAATTGTGATATCGACAGTTTGAGACCGGACGCACACGGATTATCGACGTCCTTGGAACATTTCTGGTCAAATCTCTCAGCCACGCCCTCAATGTAGCGTGTATGTTTGATCATTAAGGTCGCCGCTGTCCTCCGTGATCGATCTCCATGCTCAAGGTGAATTTCACCACGCCAAGATCCGTCATTTTGAAAACACCCTTTGACATTCCTTGACTACCTACAGATATACGCGCACGAACCTTACTTTAAATTTCTCTACGTAGACGCATTGATCCGCCCCAGAGCTTTTGAAAACGTTCTTCTTGATAAATGAACAATGTCTTCTTCGAGCAATTTCAGTCTGCTTTGAGTCCATATGCGGCCTTGTTCAGCTGACACGCATAACCTTATGCTCCCTTGACATCAAGCAAAATATTCCATGTTGACACGGTCGGACAGCACACTGTTGATAATGGCAGTATCAACGTCCAGCTATTCCATTGTGACCAGATACCGCACAGAATGCTAGTCCAAGTTGAATCGAATTCACGTTGGACACCGGAGAGTAGATCGCAAAGATGTTCAGATCGTCCTTCTGTATAAACCCTTAGCCACCACTCATGCCATGTAATGCACCACGCTACCATTCTGGTCCGTTTCTTAGCAAGGACCCACTGGCATCCAATCGTACGCTCGATAGAAACCCGCGGAACGAGCGTCCATGTCTTGTTCTGCTGGTGTGATTTTCCATCGCCTCGCACCACTGTTTTGCCTGAATACTAGCTCTTGCCCGCGCGAATATGGCCGAAAGTCTTCTCTATCAATAGTTACAGTGTAATCGAGAACTGTTTCGGCTATGACGATGTCCTCGTCATCCTTGCACGCTGTGGAGATCGTGGGCCGTTCCCTTCTTCCATACTTTCTGAGTCATCTGATCCATTCGCCACGTCACTCCGATGCAGCGCCTTTATCGTTGATCTTGGGCACGTGTATTACTGTCTCCTCTTTTGGAAGGTGTGATTCGAAAATGGTGCCCACCTCACACTTGTCCAACTTCATCGACCATAATACTGATTTTATTTTTATTCAAACCATGAATACAATATCCCTTGGTGTCTTCGGCTTACCCCAGAAACCTCCCTTTCGAGCGCTAAGCCTCGAGCTTCGTCCTCTTCATATGATTAAGGTATGCGTACCCGTGAGATCCATATACCCGAAGGCGGTTCAAACGAGACTTCACATACGAAGTAGCATTTGGATGCACCGTGTTAGGGACACCGTTGATCAGATACACCGCAAAACTGACCGCCTCTGCCCACCGACAGGTCGAAACACACTGGTAGCGGGGCATGCTTCGTGCCATTTTCACGATTATGTGGTCCATTCGCTCTAGTATTCCGTTCTATTGTGAACTGTATGGTACCGTATGTTGGTGCACAATGCCGTCTGGTCACCATTAGTCTACAACCGTCATGTTTACGAACTTCATTTCGTTGTCCGAGCGAAAGTACTAGATGCGGGCTCCCCATTGAGTTTTATACAGTGCCTTGAACATCTTAATCGTTTCGAGAACTTCACTGCTCTACCCCGGCATTTATGCTGCCACATTTCGTTAGAAATCATCCACAAATATTATAATATACGTGGTGCCTCCCTTTGAGATTATAATATAGACCCGATCACGTTCAAGTACACTAGCTCCAATACGCGTGACGTCTATGTTATAGAGCGTCTAAATAATGCTTCAATCGTTGGATGGTCTCTCATGCAGCCACAACACTAGGTCGGTATGCCTTATTTCGGCGCAGGTTTACCGTTTGTGGAACGCAACGTCTTCATCAAGACATCCTCGCTTGGATGTTGTATTCGAGCATGCTATAGCTTCCACTGACTGTCAGCTCCCGAGTATTGCACCGATTGTGTCTTCTCTAGGTGACAGTCCATTGTGTAAGCTTTACCGTTCCTCGTCCTAGTTGCCATAACACAGTTCTTGTCCCAAATGGTACACGAAATACGCTAAAATGCTTTACTCAATCTACGTTCAGCAAGCTTTCCCACTGGCAGATAGCGGCTGCTAAGTCTGGAAAAAGCAACACCCACATCATGGGTATGCATCTACCGTCTCCAAAAGCTTCTTCGCTCTAGTTCTTCGGCACTTGGTTTTCTGCCGTCTGTAGTCGTTACCTCGATGCTGGTTTTCAGACGCTTGTAATCGAGCAATTCATACTGGTGGGATATGCGACGTCGTGCCGCTGTCAATTAGCATACCGGTTGATCGTCCTCACCCACAAAAATACTGCATCGTCCCCACTAGAATGGTATCTGGAATGACTCCCACTCCGCCATGCGACCCTTTCAGTCACAGTTGAAGCATTTCATCTTAAACCCACCGTCCTTTCGCGGCGAGGAACTCTTGCTACCGCTTTCGCGCCTTCCCTTGAGCCGTTTGTTGTTCTAAGTAGTGCGAAACGCTTACTCGATGGCCTCCTTCTTCTATAACTTCTCCGATCCCTTCAACAGCTTCTCTGCGATTCTAATCAGCGAGATTTTATTGGTGTTAAATAGAAGGAATCAGCTCGTACTCCAATGGCAGGCTGCTCAATAGTACCACCAGCTGTCTTGACTCATCCACTACCCTCGATTCATCTGAAGTCTCACGACCAATACGTCAAACGTGTTTCGCCATGCTCGCACCGGTTTCCATCTTAAATCATGGAGGGACATGTCATCGTTACAAATTTGTGCAGAGTTGAGCAATTATATAAATCGTGAAGCGTTTTCACGCCTCCAAGGCACGAGTTACTGGCCTGGTGCTGAATTTTCTCTCCCTGGGCAATGATGCCCAAGTAATAGCGTCATTCATAAGCCATGTTCCGTTATCTCACTCTCATCCTTTGCGGCCGTGACGCGCCCCAGGAGCCGTATTCTTGCAAATGCCATCCTCTTCATAAGCTCCCAACGGTGGTAGATACTACCTTCCAGGAGGACTTCGATGCGTTTGGTAATCATGGCGATAAAGATGTCGTGAAGCGAGGCTTGGCTTTGGCTGTCATGCTGTAGCGAAGATG